CTATGTTTTTCATTGTTGTTGTTTACATTGTTGTTGTTTGCCTTGTTGTTGATAGGGTTATGTTGTTTACCTTTTTGTTGATGTTTACCTTTTTGTTGATTACATTATTGTTGTTCAAATTGTTTACATTGTTGTTGTTGTTGTTGGCCTTGTTGTTGATAGGGTTAGGTTGTAAACAACAACCATTGTTGTTTACCTTGTTGATGTTTACCTTGTTGGTGTTGATTGCCTTGTTGTTGATAGGGTTATGTTGTTTACATTATTGTTGTTCACATTGTTGTTGTTTACATTGTTGTTGTTCATAGGGTTCGGTTGTTTACATTGTTGTTGTTTGCCTTGTTGATAGGGTTAGGTTCTAAACAATAACCTTGTTGTTGTTAGGGCTATGTTTTTCACATTGTTGTTGTTTACATAGTTGTTTGCCTTGTTGTTGATAGGGTTAAGTTGTAAACAACAACCGTTGTTTTTTACCTTGTTATTGTTTACCCTGTTGTCGTTGTTTACCTTGTTGTTGTTAAACGTCCAGGGGTTTTGCACTCACTGATCATTATTTTTTCATGACTTTGTTTTGTTTGTTTATTTTCTGAATACGCTCATCTTTGTTTGTTATCGGCAGGCGGGGAAACCCCCTCCATCTGTGTGCGGAGCGTTACAGGAAGATTGAGCGTCTGTGGCGGCAGCACGGCGTCGCTGAGGTCATCGGTCACGCTCAGGAGGCCAATCAGACGCTGGTCACCATCGACTGGCAGCACCTTTGATGATCCGTCCCCTCACGCTCAGCCCCTTTGTGATATGAACCTTCCAATCAGCTTTCAGGGATTTTTTAGGTCATTGGTTTTGTTGGTTTGTGTCTGACCTCTGATCTTCTACATATCTCAGTCCACCAATCAGAGAGCAGCAGGGATGCAGATGATGTTTTATTTCCTGTGTGTACTTAATCCCCGCCCAACACACAGTGTGATTGACAGCTGAAACACCTGATGTTTAAACTCAGGTCGTGGTTTCTGATTGGTTCAGAGTGTCAGGTGAGTCAGGTGCGTGACCAGGACACAAACAAAGGAACTGAAACTCCCAGGGTGCATTTCACTTACAAACCGCCAATCACAGAGCTCAGCTCAACATTCAGCAGCTGAGGATCATGGGTAACTTATCAGAAACACATACAGAGCTGAAATCCTGATTAATCAGTTGATGAACTTAGTCAGCAACGATTCTGATAATCAATAAGAGCTGAACGACCGCAGACATGATTGACTGTTGAGATGACATCATCAGTCGGCGGATCGATTAATCGTCATGAACAAATCTTTTTTCACTTATCAAAGTTGTTGCTGATTCATTTTCTGTCCCTCGACTGATCGATGAATCGATCGATTGATCATCTCCTGATGTGCAGTTGATTTTTCAGTTTCCATGACTACAGAGTTGATATGAAGGAATGTTAATGATCATGTGATCAGTTGCTCAACATATCAATGTATTGATTATTGAAGAGCAGCTGATCAGTTTTTACTTTAGTGCTTTCAAGTTTTTATTTAAATCCACGTTTGTTTCATGTTTTTTTTTTAACCCTTTTAAAATTAAATCAGATCAAGAGAATTCGTTGATCAGCTGATTGATGTTTGATCGATGACCCCTGAACTGTTAATATGTGAATTCTTGTATAAATGAGAACATGTATTCAAATTGTATAAGAATTTAAGACAAATAAAAACTTTAAAAGGATGTTATGTGCATGTTTGTCCTGATGGGGGAAGTATAAACATGTCGAACAGTGGAAGGTTACGTTTCGCAAAGAGATTTTATTTGTTGTTGAAAAATCAAGATAAATACAACACGTCAGAACATAAATAAATAAAATAGAAAAACAATGAGCGTTCATCTATTAATGAGCTGCAGCGCTCCCAGAGGGCAGCAGAGGAACAGCAGGTTAGCTGTGGATGACTAGAAACAAGTAACATTCTCACCACATTAAACAGCGACGCAATAATAACAAGCCTGAAGATGAAAAATGATTTTATGTCCACACCATGGGTTCAACTTCCTGCCAATGAGACAGGTGGATGAGGTGAGACAGGTGGATGAGGTGAGACTGATACAGGAAGCAGCGTCTTACCAGATTACCAGGATTAGAATGTCATTAGAACCTGATTATCAGCTGATCTGTTGTTAATGGGATCAGAACCTTCAGGGTCCAGGTGATGAGTCGCAGCTCGTTCACATTCACACCTGGACACTCGGACAGTCGGACCCTAACCCTGAGTTTGATGGCCAACTCCTCTACCCCCCCTGCAGTACGGACTGACCTGCAGCTTGGCATTATGGGTGAGAGAGCAGGAGCTGGGGCCGAGTCATATGTTCTTTCTGGAACGGATTAAAACTCTGAGACTGACAGATTCTGTCCTGAACTCTTTCCTGCTGATCAGTGACTGTTGACTCTTTTTGTTTCTGACTTGTGTTCTTACGTTGTGTCACTGCGTGGAGACGTAAAGATGCCGTTCATGCCGGTGAAGTTCAACCTGCAGAAACGGGTGAAACTGGCTCAGGGGCTTTGGATGCTCTACTGGCTCTCGGTCATCGTGGGGATTCTCGTCTTCAGCCTTGGAATCTTCTTTAAGATTGAGCTGCGGAAGAGAAGCGAGATGATGGACAACAATGAGAGTCATGTGGTTCCAAACCTGCTCATCCTGGTCGGTGTGTTGGCGTGTGGCGTCAACGCCTTCGGGGGGAAAGTGTGTCATGATTCTCTGGACCCCATCAAGTTCACCAGGTGGAAGCCGATGCTGAAGCCGTACCTGCTGCTGTGCTGCGGGTTCAACGTGCTGCTGCTGCTGACGGCGCTGCTCTGCTTCCTCATGCAGTTTGCTGTTTACCTGACGCTTGCCGAGGGTCTGAAGAACGGAATCAAGTTCTACAAGGACACCGACACACCTGGACGCTGCTTCATGAAGAGGACGCTGGACATGACACAGGTCGAGTTCCGTTGCTGTGGCAACAACAACTTCAGGGACTGGTTCGAGGTTCAGTGGATCAGCAACCGATACCTGGACATGAGTAATGACGAGATCAAAGAGTGAGTACACCTGGAACATGACAGCCAATCAGAGCGCAGACAGACCACCATCCATCACTGGGAGGTTTCCTGTTTTTATCAACAATGATTCACAGTTCCAGTGATTCATCAGTAATTATTGGTTCAGTAAACTGAACTCAGGCTCAGTTTGTTCTGGGCGTCATGATGAGCACAAACCTGGATCTTCAGTAAGCTTCCTAATGACCTCTGAGATCATGTGACCACCTGAGTCAGGTGTTCAGTGACTCGTTAAACAAGGTCGTTGGAGGATAAATGAGGAATTAACGAGGTAAAAGTTATCGTTAAGTCTTTAATCAGTCAGGAGCTGATTTACACGCTGTGACCATGACAAGGTTAAACTAAACCAGGCTTTGATTCTGTCTCCCGGGTAACAACTGAAACGCTGAGATAAACCACATTCGGTTACAAACATATAAACTGACATGAACAAACTAAAGAACAGAAACATGTGATGCAGCTGCAGGACTGAAGCATAATGTGGATCCGTGTTTGCGTGATTCCGTGTTTCTGTGTTAATGCGTTTAAGAGATACTCTCTCTCTCTGAGATGATTATTTCTCATCATCCAATTATAATCTGTCACTCACTCTCAGGCCCTGCCCCTCACAAGTGATGTCACAAAACCAAATGACCTTTCACAATCAACAAATTCATTAATAACCTTTGGATTAATTCAACTTTTATTTTTTAAATCCTGAAGATTGTTTTTTGGTCTGAAACTTTCAGAGTCCCTCAGATATTCAGTTCTGTCGTGATGGTTTGTGATTGGCCAACGGTGTCAGATTGTTTCAGTCAATTATTGATCCAGTTTTAAATCCTGATGATTTCAGCTGGTCGTCGTGCTGCAGATGAATCATGACCTTTCAGGTCCATTAGTAACCCAGCCTGGCCGAGTGTCTGACCTTTGACCTCTGCAGAGTCCAGGAAACACTCATGACTCGTTCACACCTGGTTTGTTTCAGAGCTTCAGACTCTTCAGTTCAGTCTGAAGCTGAACTTCAGCTGTGAACGGTTCCTCAGACGAGAGGAGGAATTCTGGGTCTGGATCAAACTGAACCTGGTTCTGTTGGTTCACAGTGAAAACACTTTGTTGGACCAAGCACAGGAAGTAGAGACACATTAAACCATAAAAGAAGAAGAAGAAGAAGAAGCTGCAGACTTCACCTCTGTTGATAAAATGTTTGAACCACTTGGACGTTCATTTGGTGCATTTGAACTAGTGTGAAGTACTGTAGTCCTGTGGTACTGTAGTCCTGTGGTACTGTGGCACTGTTGTACTGTTGCACTGTTGTACTGTGGAGTGCTATGGTACTGTAGTACTTTGGAGTGCTGTAGTACTGCGCCTGAAGCTTCATTCATTTCCTCCATTCAAACAGAAAGACTACTACCCCCCCCCCCAACTGACAACACGCCCACATCAGATGCCGCCTACAAACCAATCAGAGTCAAGTACAGGTAGATGCATGTGTATCAAATGTAAAATCTTGTCTCTGTCCTTCAGTCGTGTCCTCAGTAACGTGGAGGGAAAGTTCCTGATGGACAGCGTCCCATTCAGCTGCTGTAACCCCGGATCACCTCGACCCTGCATTCAGCATCACCTGACCAACAACTCCGCCCACTATGACTACGACCACCGCACTGAGGAGCTCAACATCTGGGTCCGAGGCTGTCGGGAGGCACTTTTCTCGTATTACAGCGGCATGATGAACAGCATGGGGGCGCTGGTCATCATCACTATCATCCTGGAGGTAAGCCTCAGCCAATCAGCACTGGATGTTCAGACCCACACCAATGATTAGCTTAGCATAGCTTAAAGACTGAAGACAGGGGTAAAAAGTAGTCTTAGGGTTAGGGACAGGTAGCCTAGCTTAGCATAAAGACTGGAGA